ATGGCTGCCTTTTCTGAATACCAAGCTTCCAGGGCTTCCCTCCTGTTTTTGGATTTAGCTTGGTCTAAGATGCTGACAGTTTCCCAGTTGAAACTATGGTTAAGTCTGTCCATGTGTTGTGAGATTAAATATTTAAGTAAGTAAATACTGCTTCCTGATTAATTTGGAGCAATGCTCATAATGTTTAACTGACTCATTTAATTTATTAAAACAAATGTCTCTAGTCTGGGGTGTGTTATAATAAACCTCTCATTATTCCAGCCAGCATGGTTGTTGACATTCTGGCTGGGAGTGATGGGATCAATAGTCCAATGTGTTCCAACATGTCAGATGTGAACGAGGCTGGGGAAGTCTGGGTAGTCGTGGGTCCCGGATCAACCAGGTAGAACTCTTTTGCCTAGTAATGTAAGGATTGCTGCATTCGGTGCTGAACAAAAACCTTGTGAGACATAGGCTCAGACAAAAGTTAGTTTACTCAGGCATAATGCGTAACGGTTACAGACAAAGCCAGGATTGGCTTGGTGCGGTTCTTTACAGTGTTTTATAGGGTTCCCCCCTGACCCGTAGTTACCCCTGGCTTCCCCCTCCCTCCTTAATGGCAGATTCAGCCAGGTTTCTTTGTCTTCGCGACTGCTGCCTTTTGTCTGTGTTGGTGTTGTAATCATGGGGCTTTCTTATGCGGACAAAACCAGGGTTTTTTAATTCGTTGCCGATCACCTCTGAATTGCTGTGTTCCCGAAGTATTGTAGTTAGCGTTGCCTGGGGCATTTGGGGAAGCTACAAGGTATCTGTTTGTGCCCTGAGTTAATCACCGCCCCTGCTGGCAATTAACTTGCTGTTCGCCCTGTTTCCCTTCTTGGCTGCTGGTGCCTGAGGCTGTGAAATTGACTAGGGGTGGTGAAATTGAACAGTGGTGCTGGCCATGCTGGCCTGAAACTGATAAGTAAGAGTTAGTAATACAGTGGTACCTTGGGATACGAACGCCTCTACTAACAAACTTTTCGGGTTACGACCAGCTCCGGCCGCAAAAATTTACCTCGATGTGCGAACTCCGCCATGGGGTATGGTCATTTTTCCGCCCTGACATGTGGTCCGTGGCCATTTTTCCTCCCTGACACGTGGTTCGTGGCCATTTTTCCGCCCCTGACACGTGGTACACGGCTGTTCTCCCGCTGCGCCGCGCCGCGCCTGGCCTTTTTCCCGCTGCGCCGTGCCGCGCCCGGCCGTTCTCCTGCCCCTGACGCGTGG